TTTATATTTAATATATAAAATATATATACATATAAGTGTTTTTATATATATTTTATATATATAAATATATTTTAGTTATTATATTAGTATTATATTAGTATATAACATAATATATAAGTGGTGCTTCATTTTAATCACAGAAAAATGTAGATTTTGGGGTTAGTTTTTTAATCTGACAACTGCAGATTTTTTTTATCGGAGAAAACCAGGATCCCTGCTGATAATAGGTAAGTGTCACCCAAATTCTGTCTAGATTGATGCCTTTTCATTTTCTGCATGACTGAGGTTTAGGTTCAGAGAATGCAATAGCCCCTTTCACTTCCCTGTTCACTTATCTACAGCACGAGAAAGGTGACATGAGGGTGCCCGTGCATGCTGCACACATACCTGCTACTCGAAGATCACAAGCCAAGGCCAGCTCCAGTCCCCCGCCCAGTGCATAACCTTCGATTGCAGCGATAGTGGGCACAGGCAGTGCAGCTGGGGAAGGTAAAAGTCATTTGAAGTTAACATTCCAGAATCAGGTTTCTCAGCGAGCATTTAAGATTTCTTCATTTCAGATGTGCAAGTTTTCTATGGCTATGGCATAATGCCTAGCAAGTTACCAGAGGTAGAGGAAAACCATCATCAGATGGTGAAAATCTGCTATTTTTTACTTGCTTCTTTAAAAATGATCCCAGAAAAGCCTGACAGAAACACTGTGATACTGGAGGAAAGAACAAAATGTGTTAACTTCATACTGGGATTGGCTTGCTTGAAAATGTGAAATGTGAACACCTGTGACAGCGATACTACCAAAGAACAGCTCCCACCGTGAGGCATCTCCCCATTCAGCATTACGCGATCACCGCGGCCCTGGACAGGCTTTCCTCAAAGTGCCTTGATGAACATGCATAACCCAGCACCGGGGTGGGGGCCAGGCAAGGCACTCTCCCATTTTAAATTCAGGAGAACACATCCTGTCTCCATACTGATGGTTTTCAACCTTTTCAGACTCGAGGCACCCTGCAGAAAATGTCAGCTCTTCATTTTTTGCTCATTTTTGATTATGCAAAAATAATAGAGAAATTTTTCTGGTCAAAAACTGGTCAACATGTCTTCATTGTTCTGTATTCCTGTTTGAAACTTCTGGGTTTATCTTCTGAACCGTGTTTGCACACCTGACAGGCCTAACATTGCGTGGCACCTCATGACACCCTTGAAAGTATCTCGGGGCACCCCTGGGTGTCATGGCCCCCTGGTTGAGAGTTGCTGCTCTATACAGTAAATTTGGTGTCCCTTGGTGACAACCTTATGCATGCTGTGCTGCTCTGGGCAGGCCGCCTTCTGAACTGGACTCAGGGTGGCCACCCCTGCATGGTGCTAGCATTGTTGGGCAACAGGACTTGCTCCCCAGTTAATAAGGCTGCCCCCATAGACTGGTTTAGGAGGCAGCTATCCTAGCACTGTGCAGTGTGCTTGAAAGTGGCACTATCAGGAATGGCAAGTTTCCTGTGTAGACATGGTCTAGGACATAGTGGGTAAAATCGCTTAGAGCAAGGCACAGTGAGACAGCAGCAAAACTGGGAACAGAAAACAAAGTGCAGTCTCAGGGGCCCTCTGTCTGCCTGCAAGGCAGCCTTCCCCGGACATGCCATGGTGCTTTACTGTATCGTGCTGGTTGGATGTACGCACGTTAGATACTGCCTGAATTTTTTTAATTAAAATTGTAATCAACTTTGCTTGCATTTCAAACTTCTTGTGCATCTCCCTCCAGGGACAGGCACAGTCAATATGGGAACAGCACTGTTTGTACAAGTCCACATTCCTTTCTTAAAAAGGGGGTTAAATATTGATTTAGCAAGTTCAGCTTGTGAGTGAACCAATGTGCCAAGATCCTTTTCCATTCTACTGAGCTGCTTGTGCTACTCTCATCTGAGCCCCTTCCAGCCGCGTGCCAAGGATGACGGGAATAACATCCGTCACAGGCAATTCATTCTTTTGCATCCTCCCCCCTGGATAAGGGCACTGAGAAGCAGGGACCCTTATTATAAAGTTCCTGCAATACAGCAGCAGTCGCTTGTCTGCCCCCCGCACCTGTATGCACAAGTATGCAAACAATTTAACAAGAAACTATTTACCAATTTCATCCATTAGACTTCTCAGCCTGTGAACAAAATGTCCCACTTCAGTATCACTCATTTGTGCACGCTCCTTTAAGTCAGCACCTAAAGTAGGGAGAAGATAGGAGTTGTGACAGGGGACAGGCAGCAGAGCTAGGTTTGCAGCAGCGCTGCATTGCCGGGGCACGAAGAGTCATGTTCCAGAGCAGTCTAGGGATGCCAGCTTTCTGGTCTGGGTGCGTTCAGATGCTTTAAGGATGGTGGTAGAGCATCCTGCCCCATCGCTGCCTATAGCAGCCAATTTCAGAGAGCAACCCCAAGCACTGTTTTACATGAACTGCCTTCTACTGGGTTAGACCAGAGGTCCATTTTGCCGTTACAAAGTGGCAGAGATCGAATGGTGAAAGGACCACGTATGACCAGGGTTTTTTCCACTGGTCCTGTCCCCACTTTCAGCCTCCAGCACTTCAGGCTTAGGAGGTTCTGATTCACTCCCAGGCTCAATAGCTACCGATGCACTTTTCCTCCAAGGATTTGTCCGGTCTCTTTTTTGAATCTGGCTAAACTGTCAGCTTCCGCCAAATATTGTGGCAATGAGTTACACACTTTAATCCCACGCCACATAAAAACCTTCCTTTTGCTAGCTTTAAACTTACTACCAGTTTCATTTTGTGACCCCTAGTTCTTGTACTGTAAGAGGTGGTAAATCATAAATCCCTATTTACTTTCTCTTCACCATTTAGCAGTTTGTAAACCCTTATCATGTCTGCCCCCAAAGTATTTTTTGACCTTGAACAGGCCTAGCCTTTTTGGTGTCTCCTCGTGCGGAAGCCCCTCCATACCACTTATCGTCCTTATTGGCCGTCTCTAGACCATCTCTATCTTCTATATCCTTTTTGAGGTGTGGGGACCAAAATTGGGCACAGTATTCAAGTTGTGGATGCACCATGGATTTATAAAGAGCATAATGATACTTTCTGTTTTGCTTACAAGTCCCTTAATAATTCCTAACGTTTTGCTTGCCTTTTGACAGCTGCTGAGCACTGAGCTGGTGTTTTTAGCAAACTGTCCACAATGGCTCCCAGATCTCTTTCGTCTCTGGTAACGGCTCATGTTGAGCCAAATGTTTTTGTCCATATGCATCACTTTACACTTTATCTACGTGTCACCTGCCATTTATTGTTGCATCCTCTCAGTAGTGCAAGATCTTTCTGTAGTCCCTCACAGTCTGCCTTGGTCTTTATCACTTTGAGTAATGTTGTGTCATTCACAAATTTAGCCATTTCACTACTCACCCCCTTTTCCAGATCTTAATTTATGCATATGATAAACAGCACCGGTCCCAATATAGATCCCTGGAAGACCCTGCGGTTTAGTTTTTTTCATCCCGAAAACTGACCATTTGTACTCATTCTGTGTTTTTTATCCTTAAACCAATTTCTAATCAACAAGTGGGCCTCTCCCATAATCCCATGACCACCTAACTTCATGAAGAACCTTTGATTAATTCTCAAAATCAGAGGCAAGGGGGCAGCAGTACCGTGCTCTAAGGATGCAGCTTGGAAAGTAAGAGAGCATACAGATGAAAGAGCTAGTCATTAGGTTGTAGCCACCGAAGTTGGGTCCAGCTGCTGAGGTCGCTGTTGCTAAGACAGAGGCCGATATGCCAAGATGGGCCCGCGTGCCAAGGTTTGTTCCTTGTTATTGCACAACACTAAGCTGGCTATTTAATTAAGTGTACATTTCCAGCTGCTACTCAGCACTGCCTGCCCTGTGCAACAGCGCATGGACCCATCAGCTTTTAATATCAAGTCAAGTCACAGAGAACTGGTTACCTACCTGCACAAAACACGCCTTTTACTTGACTTTTAAACAGTACTACGCGGACCTTGTCATCGTAACGGAGACTTTCTAATGCACGAAACAACTGAGGGGAGAGAGTTTACACGAGAGAAGTTAAGCACTGCTTTGAGCCTGTCATCCTTGTGAACCCCTATGCCTAGATCACTGACAGGAGGCTCCTACACTGCAGTAAGTTTCTTGACTGTCTTTGCTGTGCGGGGAGGGAACCTTGCAGAAAGCCAGTGTCAGGGATCCTGCTGCTCTGCATGTAGTCTCTGGAAGCTCGTAGGATTTCTCTTGCTTCTCCTCCCACCTTCTCAATATCCCAAATGGACCTTCCTGTTCAGGGCAGAGCCTGGTTCTCGGGAGCCCTTGTGCCCACTCTTTGGTCAGAGACATAACTAGTGATTTTTTTTCCAATTAATTTGTATCCAAGGCCAAATAAGCAAGACTAATTCCAGATCCAAGAGTCCAGAACCGTAAGTGGCCCTACTGCCACCTGCACCTGGGGCTGCAGATATTTCCAAATCCTTTGGCAGGCATCCTACTTGCAGGCCCAAGCCCGGAGGCTTTGGGTTTGGATGCCGTGGAGTTTTGCTTGCCGTTAGTCATAGGAGCTAAGGAGGAGACTCCCATTTCCATAAACTGGGCTTAAAGCCACTACACCTCGGTGGGTACTGAACCACGCCAGAAGGGCAGTTCTCCCACAGTGCGGTTCAGGAAACCTGCCTTCACGGACACAGATGCCTGGTGTTTCCCCTGCCAAGTTAAGAAGCCACCATGCCTGATCTGAGCCCATAAGAGGCCCAGAAGCAAGATGTAACTAGTGATCAACATCTGCTGGTACACCTACACTGCAGTCCCAGAAATGAAGCGGGGTCAATTAGCCCATGCTGAGCTGAGCTCCGTCCTGCCACGGTTAGGCTGGTACTGGTACTCAAGCTAGCTAGTGTAAAGCAGGCTAGCATATCTGTAGGCTATACTGCAGCGTGGCCATCCCCAAATTCTCCCCGTCCCCTCGAGCTAGCCTATCTTGCTTTTATTCACAACCTCTACTGGCCTGGTAGCAAATGACTAAGCTTTACTCTTAGTTTTGGACCACACAGATCTCATGCTCTACTAGGCCTAGACCATCAAGCTGCTTGTAACCCAGGTTGTCCAGCCACAGACAACAGGCCCGCAGTAAGAGACACTTAGCACTGAAAGCCTTATACTTTTCCTCCAGTAACTTTTGAAACCCAGTGCTTCTGCAATGCAGGCGCTGAATAAACCCAACAGGTAACTTGTTAGTTGACCAATGGATTTACACAGGCCCATTCACTAACAGGAAATTGCTTCGTGGAGCTTGTGAGAATTAGGGGATCCGAAGCGTTGTGCATATTATAAAAAAGAATGGCTTATATATTGAGAGAGACAAAGTGACTGGACACTCACTAGTTTCCTCTCCTGTCATTGCTATGGCAAGTCTTTCTCTAAATCTCAGTGTTTGCGGTCACAAACATGTTTACTGTCGACAGTCAGAGACAGCGCTATACTTACTTCATTCACAAATACGTTCCCCAGGGAATTTTTAGCATGGGGTCTGTTCATCTGGATTTCAGCAATTCCTTCAGTTAAAAAAAAAAAAAAAAGACACTGTTAATTATAAGTTGTTGAAAAAAAATCCTGCTGAGAAGCCCTATATATTGTCACTTCTTGCTTGAAAATCTGTACAAAGGCTGTAAACACCCAGCACAGAGGCTGCTTGAACAAATGAGCTGAAAAGCAAACCTGCGCACTCACGTCATGAATTGCAGAATCACATGTCATTGCCGAACGGAAATAGAGACTCTGTTAAGTTTAAAAGGGGACTTCTCGTTCTAGCTGGTGTTTTCAGGGAAACGCGTAACACAAAACCCAAAGAACAGGGTGAAGTTCACTTTCCCATGCTCTTTAGCTCGTGCTTTCCTTGAGCCTTCAGGTGTGTATTCCCTAACAGAGAAACCGTCTTCTTCCAATTGTGCCGTGACCGCGAGGACGGCCCAAATGACCAGCGTCCCTAATGGCCTGCGCTCCACAGCTGTCTGGAAAATGAAGCCCCGCTTCTCGTTCACAGCTATGCTAACTAGTCTCAGGGACTTGACTCATTGTTTTTAGGGCCAGCAGACCAGAAACGCCTGCTTCCTCCTCCCTCCCCCTGCAAAATATGAACACGCAGGTTCTGCCTTTCTGGAAGCGATAAATCCCCAAAGCACCTGGCTGCCGCACAAGGGAGGGGAACGGCCTGCTCTGTCTCCAGTCCTTCCTCCTGCGGCCCGCCGCGCTCCCCCGGGTTTCCCGCATCAAGTTCACGGGGGCAGCGAGACAGAAAGGTGAAACGACCTTCCCAAGGTTACGCAGGACATGTCCCCGAGCGGCCCAGCTCCTGCCTCCCAGGGACCCAGGCCAGGCCCTCAGCTCCTTGTTTCCCTAGCCGCCCCCTGGCATGCTGCCACCAGCCTAGGGGCTTCCCAGGGGCTCCTCCTCCCATGCAGCAGAGCCCCTTGCTCCTCCCGGTGCAAAGAAACGCGGGGCTGGACGGCCGGGGCGGGCAGTTCTGCGGGCCCGCTGCCGGCAGGGGCAGGGGCAGGCCCCGGCCCGGGG